ATGAAACAGCTTCAGACAGAACGGGTGAAAGACACTCGAGGCTTCATATACTCTTTTCACCGACCACGACGGCACGACCTGTGATAGAAATCTTCAGTTATGCGTGCACATCCACCATCTCTCCAAGTTTTACTGTTACTTGTGTATGTTGGACGGGTACCCAGAAACTGAAGAATTGGCTGTTAGAACTCCTCTGTCATGTTCTTGCATTGGCATATGACTAGACAGGCAGTCGATTCGAAGAGGGGGGAAAAAGACCCACATTTTTCATGTTTATGCCGTGACACTCCATTTATATGGTCTAAAAGGAAAAGAAGAAAAAGGATAGTATTATTATTGAAAAGAACTGCATACATGGTTCAAAGGAAACCCACAAATTCATAAAGGTATGTAGTATATGCGTTTGCACTACCATTTACTCTGTATTTATTGAAATAAAAGCACTGGATTGCATATTTGCATACATACAAGGACCAAAAAAAAAAGGAAAAATCGCTTTGCCTGCATGCAAAGATAAGGGGCACCCACACATCATACATGCCCCTGTCTATCCTGGATTGGAAGGATAGGGTAAGGCTAGGGGAGCATCACCAGAAATGCTTGCTGCTACTTTCCAGAGGAAGAGGTTGTTGCCCACTTGGCTTTTCCAGCCCAACCCTGTTGCGTGTATTATTCATTTCATTCAATCAAGTACAAGTACTCTCTTGGATGGAATTTTCCTCCTCCTTCTAACACCCTCAAGTCTCCATGAAAGGTTCTTGTGGCTGATGGTACAAGTAATCTCTTGGAAACGCGAAGCTGTTCGGCTGATAGTTTTTGCAGCTGATAAGCCGGTTGATGTTGTTTTGTTGTGAGAGAAAAACAGTGTACCGTGATCCTATTTAGTTTCGCACTTTCGCTGTTAGCTGTTTGAGAGGCCATGAAGATGCTTTAACAGCCAGCCATATGTGCCCCAGACCAGACCGGTCAGAATTGTGATGCACTAATGCACGCCATCCATGTGTGCTGCTGCTGGTGGCAAGTCCCCATCCAAGGCATGCTTTCCCTTGTACCCTCTTGCGAATGCTCCAAAAGCTCCTGCAAATTTCTTCGGTTCGTGGGGTTTAAATCAGTGTGCCTGACATCACAACCAACCAGTTCTCTCACAGTAGTGTCCTGCAGGGTCACAGTAACGTGGTGTTTGATCTAGTGACTAAAATTTAGAAGGTATATCGGAAGGATGTTGCATGGGGTGTTCGGATACTAATAAAAAAACAAATTACATAATCTGTCAGTACTCCACGAGACGAATTTTTTAAGCCTAATTAATCCATCATTAGTATATGTTTACTGTAGCACCACATTATCAAATCATGGACTAATTAGGCTTAAAAGATTCGTCTCGTAAATTAGTCGCAAACTATGCAATTAACTTCATAATTAGTCTATATTTAATACTTCATGCATGTGTCCAAATATTTTATAGGACAGCGACTAAAATTTAGGAGGACAACCAAACCCCACCTAACCTGATTTCCTCATCTGCCACTTTTCGCTAGCTTTGTTTCAGTATCATGGATACATGATTAGAATTTAGAATAGAAAAAAGGACTCCACTTTGAGACGACCGGCCGGAGCTGCAGATGAGTAGTCAAGCAAAAGCCACTGCCTCTCTACATATAATTGCCATGCCACCGACTGGTCTCTTCTTTGCATGTTGACTTGTGAGTCCCTTGGTTCTGAAGTGATCTAGCCATCTCAGAAAGTAGGTCTCATGGTTCATGAAACACGTCAGCTTTGTACATCCATTAAATGAAGATTAGAGTGGATAGCAGGTAAGCAGCTTTTTTGTTTGCAGGTCATTAACTGAAGCTATGCTTCTCTGTTCTTTCTCTAAAAAGGACAAGCCCAATTGACATATGGTAGGCTGTCTGTCCCACCTCCTGGTTTGATCTCCGAGTACTTCAGCTTAATTGGCATGTTCGCTGGTTGGTGCTGGTGTTGGTTTAGGCTGATTGGTGCTGGTTTTTTTGAGAGAAAAACATTATTGACTGACTGGTTTAGGCTGGCTGAAACCAACAGGCGAACAGGCTGAATACCTCCGTCAGCCATTAGCTCGCTAACGTGAATTCTGACCCTGTTCAGCACTCAGGTCAGGTCCATGGATGTCAATCGTGATCGTCGCTGTCAGTTAACATTGTCCAAGGACCCAACCCTTTCAGCAGCAGGAGGATTTGTACCGTTGCTACGAGACGCGGCACCGACACTCCATTTCATTCATCACTGCCTCCCAAACTAACCAGAGGTCAACTAAATTACCATCAGATTAATCATCTAAGTATCTAACCTTCCTGATTGTGATCATATTCTGACAGTTTTTTTCATTTGCCATGAACAGCAATCCGGGATGAGAGGGGGAATGAAGGCCGTGGGAGCGGCACCAGCGCCACTGACGGCCCTCGGATCGGCATCGGATGGCTACAAACGAGTCCCCGTCGGCTTTCGCGTCTCCAGACTATTTAGCCATTGATACGCCGGATTAACGACGTCATCTTCATCTCCACACTACGCTGTGGTACAGCCTCATCGCCACTGAGCACTGACCAACGAAAAGCTTGGACGAAGTGAAGCGAGAAGATGCCGCCAGCTCTGCGGCGAATAATCCTGCTGGCCGCGGCGGTGCTGCTGTGGTCGGCCGCCTGCGTCGCGGACGACGACGACTCGACATTCTTGCCGCCATCGCCGCCGGGGACCGCGTCGCCGTTCCCGTTCTGCCCGGCGCGGCCGGCTGGGGTCTCCACGGGGCCGTTCCCCTGGTCGCCGCCTCCGCCGCCGCCGCAGCAGCAGCAGCAGCCGCCGTCGTCAGCGGCGGTGTTCCCGCAGGATCCGGGGTTCTTGCCGTCGGGGGCGTGCGCCGTCAGCAGAGCGGTGGCATGGCTGCCGCTGCTCGCTGTGTTCTCTGCTTTCTTGGTGCTTTTGCAGTGACTCGCTCGCAGATGCCGCTGCCCTGGATGGATGTATCCGCAGTTGTTCAGTTCAGAGATTAAGATTTACTTTCTGAACTGGCCTTCATTTCATTTCATACATACATGTAGCTCTGAAAAATCTAGCAAAGAGGCCTTTCTCTTGTTTTCCTTTTCGTTTCCCTTGCAGTAGCTCTGTTTCTTTCCTCTCAAGAGAACTAGAGAAGGAATATATTCGTGGATAACCGTAGCTTCATTCATGTAATTCAGGCTTCAGCAGATACAGCTTGAATAAAAGAAATCGCATTGGCGTTACAGGTTCTGAAATTCCAGTAACTTCGCTTCAGCATGGACACCATCATGTTTTGAAAGCTGTTGTTTCCCAAGGAGGGAAGGTGGACCATGGATGCAAGAAAGAATCAATGGAGATTATCCTCAGTGTGGTAACTACTCGTAGGAGTACTAAGCATTGGACATGCAAAAACAAATCTGATTGGCCTATTTGAGCATAAACATCTCCTCAAAGTTTATTTCTCTCCCTAGTTATGCCGTGGGGGGGAAGGCTGCACAAAGGGAATTAGGAATTAGGATGAACAGGACTAATACAAATACAAGCACTTCAATGATAATTATTCATCGTATACGTTTTTTTTTTAGCCAGCAGATGTCATCTCTCCGCTTTCAGAGAATCAAAAGGGGTATACATGCAAGTTTTTAGCATTCTGGGTTGAACTGATTGATTGCCCTATGTGATCAAGTAATCATTGTTATTATTACCATATCTGTCTCCAAATGTTTCATGGGGAAAGCTACAATGCTTATTAATTACTAATAATACCATCAAGTCTAACGAAAGTGGATTAGGGCAGTTCCAATGAAAAAAACTAGTAGTTTCTATAACATAGGATATCGTACCAAAAAAGTACTGCTTTCCAACCCATGGTTTCTATGAGTAATAATTAATTTCTCTTTCTCTCTTCCAACTCTATCTTCTTTCTCCAATAGAAGTGCGGCACGAGCCCCCTAGAAACTGGTGGTTTCTCCCCAATGACGATTTCATGGTTTCTTGATACATTGGGTCAAGAGAAGACCTGATTTCTTCATGAGGAAACCATTTTTAGGATTTTTGCTCTCTTTCTTCATTAATTACGTTGCCATGTCAACGTTTTACCTACGTGGTAAGTCATTTTATAAGAATAGAAATCATCCTGCCTTGCCTTAGTACAGCGGCCGGTGTGATGTCGTATGTCTAACTCGAACCAGTGACCTATCCGTTTCAGTCTCAGCGCCTCTCACGTCCGTAGTCAGTACAACAAACAGTGTTGGCCACTAATAACTCTGCAGCACATTCAGTTGAGGTATAGTCTTTTCGTCTTTCTTCCCCATCCGACAATTCAACGCTTAAATGGTACTAGAATACATGGTCATACACTGCACCAAACTTTTTTACTTTTGCAATCACAAGAGTAAAACTGGAGTGTGAATTATCAGATGAGATCAGCTCCCAAACGTCAGTAGTAGCAGGAGCGTCTCAGAACAGCAACAGCTCACCGGATTCCATCACCATCGTCACAAGGTAAAATAAAAATCGAATGGACAACTGGACAAGAAGCAAGTTTATTAGGATTAGGCCGCTGCTTGCTGTCACAGGCACATCATCAGGAGCAAACATGCTGCTTACTTAGTGACTGATTCTACGTACAGTGTAGAAAACACACGCATCAACGCGCCTGATGACAAGAAGAAGAAAGGGAGCAGAGCAGAGCAGGCCTGCGCGCGCGGGACGGACGAGGACGACCTGCCACCTCCCTCCCCCCCAAAAGCCGACCACTATAACCACCACCCGAATTATATTCATTCATTCATCCAGAAGAACAAAAGAGACGTCCGAACCGAACCAAAGCTAGAACAATATAAGAGAACGCAGCATATAGTCGTCCACTGAAACCAGACCAACCCTACCACGGAGAGGGAAAGAGCAGAGTTCCAACAAAAGTTTGTTCAACTCCTACCTTCTGCGTCTCTGCGAGGAGGAAGAGGTTGATCTGATCGAGCAGCATGGCGCGGCGGCCACAGCGGACGCCGTGGGACAACCTGACGGCCACGCTTCTTCTGCTCGTCGTCGTCGCCTCCGCAGCGGCGGCGGTGGTGGTGAAAGCCGACGACGAGAAGTGTAGCAACCCGTGCGGGAACCCGTGCGGCGAGCCGTGCGTGTACGCGAGCCCGCCGCCGCCGGCTCTGCCCCCGCCGGAGTACTACCCGCCGCCGGCACCCGTGCACTCGCCCCCGCCGCCGGAGCCGGAATACTACCCGCCGCCGACGACCCCGACCACGCCCTACTGCCCGCCGCCGCCGTCGGGCGGCGGCTACGAGCCGTCGCCAGGGTACACGCCCGGGTACAACCCGTCGACGCCGTCCGGGGCGGCGGCGGGTGGTACACGCCGCCCTACACGCCCGGCTGGTACAACCCGCCCCACGCCGGGGACGCTCTACCCGCAGGACCCCGGGTTCCGGCTCAACGCCGCGCCCGCCCACGGCGAGGCGTGGCGCGCGGTGCTCTTCTTCTCGGCGGTGGCCTGCGCCAGCTTCTACTTGTGATCGATCGGACCGACGCCCATGGTGATCATCGTCCACCGCAGACTGCATGGCGGTTTTAGCTCTCCTCCGTGTTAATAATAAGATTAGAGGAGGGATTAAGTTGGGTAAGATTTTTTTTGTCCTCACTTCATCATGTCGTTTGTTGTGTTGGTAAATTCATCGTTCTTGTCATGTACTTAAATCGTTGGTCCATCTGTTTTAATTCGTCATAGGATCCATCATCTTTCAGACAGTGTATGTTTTATGCCCCCGAGTCCCAGTTCTCCTTTGATTTTTTATATAACACGGTGCAATAATCTGAGTAACCAACAGTGTTCGAACTTCTTTTTGTCGAAAAGAAACTTTGTGTAACCTTTTTGCTCCAAATAGAACATTTTGGTGTCACTTCTTCCGTCCTATGTAGAAACCTTGGCAATAACTCTCTTTATTTTTGAGAGGAAAACTGAGGGATACTCTATTGATGACCTTTTACGTTTTTGGGGAGAGCTCCTATAAAAGGTAGGAAAAGTTAGTTATTACGAGGATAAATAGGCCCCAAAAAAAGTCCATATGGTACATGTACTTCAAGAAAGGTGTAATGCCAACCGTTGGATTCCAAACGCGGTATAGTTATAGGCACAGTAGACTACGTTTTGGTCCACTGTTGTGCATTTTGGGTATCCCTTAGTTTGTTTCCTTACTACTATTGGTCCACAAAAATTTGTTTTTCTGCGAGGAACTTGATAACACACACATATATATGTAACTTGTTACATCTATATTTGTATAAGATTCTTTTTAAACTTTGTAATAGACAACTGACCCTGTTCGCTTGAGCTTATCAGCCAGAATCAGCCCTATTTTTTTAGCCATGGAACAGTATTTTTCTCTCACAACAAATCAGCCCTACAATTCTGCTGCAGCAGCAATAAGTCCTGTCGAACAGAGCCAGTGTATATATAGACCTTGTTTCTGTTTGGATTGACTATTTGACTACAATAAATGGTTATACCCGCTAAAAAAAAGCTCTAACTGATCCAAGCAATCCATTTTTGTCTAGCTTATAGTTTATTTTCAACTATTTAGGTCTTGTTTGGAGCGTGGAAATTTTTCATGTTTCCTCTATTTTTCTATGGAAATAAACTAATCCCGGCAAAATTCTTGTATGATTCCTATGGAATTTCTACGTTTCAAAGGTCACCTAATTTAATTAAAGTATAAGAAGAAGAAAATGGCACAGGAGTTGCTGAAGCGAAAGGAAAGAGAATTTCTGCATTTGAGATGGATTCATCGTGGATTTTCCTTGATCTTTATGACGTTCCATATTAATTCCCGGCTCTGGCCTAAGATATGTTTTCGGAACTGAAAACATTATACTTTTTATAACATGCAGACATTAAAGTAGTATGTATAAGCGAGTACAATTCGATCGCTGCAATAAATATGCACTTTTCTGCTGGCTTGTATACGCAGTGCTCTGCTGTTCCTAGCTGGTGACTGCACTGAGGTAGCTAGATATCCAAGTGAGTATGCATGCGTGTCTATGTACGAGTGGCCGGCCGGAGCCGATCAGGCCGCGGTCGAATTAGCTTATCCAAGCTCGGCAAATAACCAAGCGACGGGCACGCGCGAGAAAGCACGCGCTGCGTTTTACATGAACGTATCGTGTCGATGTACGTAGTACAGAGATGGATGGGAAAGGGCCGTATAGGTGCGACGACGACGGCGTCGCGGTCGGTCGACCGACGACCCATCGGTCATCGGTGGTCGTTGCGACGTTGCTGTCAGCACGGTGCGTTTAAGTCCCCTGTTTCTGTTTTCATGATGTTACCACCTAACCTAATCAGTACTACCTAGCCGTTGTCAGTGCCCTGTGCCCCCCAACATCAATCGAGTCAAATCTGAAGTCTCCATGTACTTTTGTTATCTCCTTCGTAACTTTTGGGTGTAAAAAAGAGCCCTGCATGCTTACGGTATCTTGCCAATACGGGTATCAATCAATCAAACAAAGGAATAAAAGGGTAAACAGGGGAGTTGACAAAGAGCAGAGCAACAAGAGCCGAATTTCCTATTGGCCCAATAGTTCCTCCTCCTATTTGAAAATAGGAAAACAAAGAGAAGAGCACGTCTTCTTCTTTTGAATTTAAGACATAGCTCATCGTACACGAAATCCTGCATAAGGTGTTTTTTTAATGCCTATCTATTTCTTGGCCGCCAAATCCCCCCCTCCCCTCCGCGTAAGGTGTCGATTTTGTTCTCGGTGAGGGTACCCGAGGCTCCAGTAGTCCCTTCAACTTTAGTGGGATTCATACCATCAAGCCAAAGCACTTTTCCTGTAATCGTAGTTTACCAGATTCATAAAAAAAGCAGACCCGATGGATCTAGCCCTTGAGCCTCCCAGCAATTTGGAGAAACGGTCGAAGGATGAACCTTTGTATTTTTCTGGTCCTTCAGCATGTGAAGAGCGCACTAAGACAAGTGGGCATAGGCCCCCCCAAGCCTCCACCTGACTTGGTAAAGCCAGGTGGAAGATCTTCGATTTAATTTTCGGGTAGCTTATTAGTGATCCATACGTGATTGGAGGTCGTCGGTCATCCAGTATCAAATGCATTAAAATGAATCACAATTTCAGGCGCATTGCATTATAGGAATTGTGCGAAGAAGGGGCTTCCGCTGAGAGGTATTACGTTGTTATGCAGTGCGTACGAGTTTTGACCCTGTTTGGCAGAGCCCTAGATTAGAAAATCTATGGTTGTAGTAGAGTTGGTCACTAGTAGGTCTAGAAAATCTAGATAACTATAGGCACGTTAAGTGCATTTACAAAAGTAACTTTATTTATATTTTAGATTAAATAAAAATATTAAAAAAATAATCTAGTAATATCTGTATATGATTCCTGCACTAAAAACAGGTTAACGGATAGGGCCACGTCGCCCGCTAACCCGACAGATGTTGGATCGAGGGGTCAAGCGATCTGGTACATCCCATACGAGTCGGTTTCGGGTCTCGCACCACCGATCCATCGCGAACCTTCGCGGTACGCAGTTGTCTGTCCGTTCCCTCGCCTTGCAAGCTACACGTCGTTGGAGCTGGAGCTATACCAAACAAGCTTTTTGTTTGCTTCCGACGGCATAATTTATGGGGATGAACCTACCTGCCGGCCGGAAACGTACCCTAACTAGCATCTAACGACGGACGGGCTGCGGACCTGCGGTGTGATGGACGGATGCAGGAGGAAGCTTCCGCGATTCGGCCTGTTGCAGGCTCTGCAGGTGAGACGATGGAGAGAACTCCGGATCGGGGGCCCAACGTTGATGCGTCCACCAGACCACCACAGGACCACGACACCTCCTAACCTCTGAGGGTTTGTTAGGAGCAAATCGTCGGCCTTGCTGCTCGTTACTGTGTTTGTTGTTGCTGCTGCTACATCTACATGGGCCACACCTCGAGTCAAGAAAATACGACTCCTTTTTTGCAGTGCCCGGATGTTATTAGAATTAAGGTAAATACACGAGCGGCCTCTGAATTTATACTATATATACTCGTTGTATTAACACCACCTCTGTCTTTTCCTTTTTGCAAATTGCTGACACCATTTCTCGTTACACAATAGCAAGTGGAATGCTCTATCCTCCTACACTAGCTAGGTTTCAAAAAAAAAAACTGAACACGTCCATGCCAGCATATACGGCGCTCGGACACTGTAGCTCGGCTGGTTTTGATGATTGAATAGTGTTCTGTGAGGGAGAATAAGCTGAAACAAGGACACGAACGCGGTACGGACGCCGGACCATCCTAGGCGTCCGAGCGTGGACGCCGGAGGCCGTATGGACCTGCCTGGCTGGAGCACCCCAAGCCAGGTTCCGAACCAGACAAGCTCGTAGCACGTGATGAAGACAGACCGAGCCGACGGATGAACACGATGAGCTTCTTTTCTACTTAAGTAAGGTCTAAATTTCTCGATTATGGATTTCTGACCACATTCTCCATAGGTCCCTCGATCTTCTTTCTCCTATCTTAGATTGGGGAAGAAGGAAATATTCATATGACTGCTAACAGTTTTATTACAAGGCAGCTCATGATCTTCGTATCAATTTATTATAGTATTATTCACCTCTGCAAAGCTAAACGGGTTGGTCTCTTCCATTCCATCGGTCGATCTTCTTCTCACAGCGCGTTCCCGTGAGCGTACAGTGTATAGTTGGTAAGCGTCGAGCAGTGACTAGGTGGTACTCAAGGCAAGGGGTGAAGCCAGCAGGTAGCACAGGATGAGAAATGCGGCAGGCAGGCAGCATGTCGGCTTGGCACGTCTGGTCTGGGAGCGGGCCGCCCGGTAACCAAGGACGGGGTTCAGAGATGGATGGAAGCTTCTCATTCAGGCCCCTGTCCTCTTGTCACCTAGCTTTGCTTCCATCCATTCCAACCATCGATGAATGAGCTGGCGGTCTGGCGCCTGGCGGTGGTTGAATTGCGTGGGGCATCTTGCTCCTCGCCTCCCAAGTCCGAATACGCCCATGAGCAAGACCGTGCTGCCACCCAACATCTGTATCTGTATGCTGGCCCGTACGATATGGATTCGATTTTTCATTCATAATACTGGAACGAACGAACGGATGAATGCAGCTTTTGGATGTTTTGTGCTACCTGAATGTTGAGCAATCAGCCGCCAGGCCGGCCGGCGCGGCGCTTGGCATGAGTGCGGCTGTTCGCGTTCGGCGTTCGCCGCTGGGCACCTTACCTACCAGTAGCTTTTCATCATCACTGCAGCAGCAGCTGCAGCGTGCACCCACCCACCTACCCCTACACGAAACAGACAATCGTTTTGTTTCCTGACCAGACCAGGGGCAACTGGGCAAAAGGCCGGGGACGTGCTCTGGTCCCGTCTTCCTGTGCGGCCCAGACCAGCAGCTGCGCCTGCGTGCAGGGCCGTAAGAATTCTTGTCACTGGCAGAGTGGCAGTACGTGGGCACTTGTTAACGTGCCCGCCGCCGGCAAAAAGAAAAGTGAAAAAAAACCCCAAA